TTGCAGTAACATTGATGGTGATTTTCCCATTAATGGTATGAAGAGACAGAGTTGTGTACCATCCCTTCTGCACTACTCTGTAAGAATGGAGCTGAAGAGTGAAACTATAATTTCGGGCTCCTATTCTGCTAGTGGCTTCAAACTTTGAGGTTTTTTCATTGGGAGATATTCTCAGAGCAGGTGAGAAAAGCTGCTAGATCTTGAATCTGACAACAATGATGGTGGTTCTAGATGTCATTGTAGTATGGATGGGGCAGGATGATTGCAGACCTTGGTCCTGAGAGAGCAGTAATAAGCTCTGTGTTTCTAGAATGCTCAGGCAGGGCAGCAGCGGGAGCTGCCCCAGGTGATCCATCCATAGCTACTAGCCATTGTTTCACTTAGGCTGTCTTTCACTTGTCTAATTTTCCTTTCTTCTTCTGTTCCTCTGGCTCTTTGATGTAACTGACCTGTAAGAGTAGGTCATTCTTCTTTGTGACGGGGTCCTAAGTGGGAGGTATCCAGAGCATGAAAAGTTAAAGAATACAGAAAATGGGGTCTGGAGGTCTTGCATAAGCCATGTCTTTATGTAAAGCAAACTAAGAAATATGGCATATTACATAGTATTTCCTGGGGAGAAATGGTACAAAGTTAGCAGAAACCATCATTCAATGGGACAAAGCCAGAGAGAAGCTAATCAAGCAATGTTGCATAACAGGAACACGAGTTATCTCAAGAGTATTGCAGACTGAGCACACAGCAACTTTGGGACTAGTAACTATAGCCTGGTACAGTGGGAAGAGTTGAGTTCTCTAAACCTGAAGCCGAGCTCCCCCAATGCCCTGTCCCCAGCTCATGACCAGCTCTGTCAAATATATTCCTTATATTGTGTTTCTTCTTCATACATCAGGACTCAAGGAATAGCTCCCAAGGCCCTGTCCCTATGCTATTACTGGCTCTACTAAGATTGTTCTGGTTTTGAGATGGCACTATGTTCCTTCTCTGTACATCAGGTCCTTAGGGAAAGTCTTCAATCCACTCAACCCTCAACAGTAATAGAATTTCTATATTAAGTAACCAGTCCAGACATTTTTATATACTTAAATATGTCCTCAGTCATGATCTCTCTAGATCTCCAAAATACATATTGCTGTGATACATTTGGAAAACACACATCAATACTCAGGCTTCAAGGAGGGATGATGAATAGAGAAAAATGGATCAGAGTAAAAAAAAAAAAAAACAAAAAGGCTGATGTGATGGTGTCTCAGTGATCTTTGAAGAATAAAATATAGAGAATTATGTTTTTCCCTTTGTATTGGAAACTTGCCCAAACTAATTTTAGGGAAGGGATCATCATGATCTCCCAGGTCTAAACTCCTTGAAGAATGACTAATTCATGAGGACAGAAACCTGATTTTGTAAACCTCTTGAGCATTAAAGGCTAACAAATTCCACACTTTACTGATGCAGATACCATGTCATTTCTGTCTCTTTAATGATTTTTTTTTCAGGTTGAAGAAGTCTCAAATAATCTGTTTTCAACCAAGTTCCCCAGTGATTGAAGTGGTATTTTCTAATCTCAATATTTTTCCTATTTCTCATCTAATAACCAAAAGGGAATAGTAATATTTCCACCAGACAATGTTGTGGTCACATTACTCATTTCACTAATGGGTTTACTATAAGTACATGCATTTAGTTTCCAGGAAATCACCAATTTCTATCTTCAGAGAGGAATGTTTGTAACTTGTATTAAAGAGACACTACTTGTTACACAGTTGAGTGTGCCAAGCTAACCTGAACTAGGGCCAATACTACTAATTCAAATACTGATCCATGCCTGCATTTAGAACAAAATGATCTCAGGGAAGCCTAAAACACCATTTCAATTTAAATTTTCTAGGGAATCTCAACACTCTGACCATTTGGATCTCTACCTTTAGTAACTCCTACCCCTGGAAGCAATCAGAAATTAAAGTATCACTGCTTTCCTCCAAACAGGCTCAAGTCAACATAGGTCCATGTAAAGCATGAGACCAGTGATTGATAGCCTGCTTAACATTTGCCAGGATGTGTATATTTTGCTCATAGATTCATTTAGCTTTTTTTTTTTTTCTGACATCAACCACTAACCAAGTTTTCAGTGGAGCACTTCCATTTTGACTTGCAATCATTGGACCTCAATATGCAGTAATCAAGCTTTAGTCCCAGGAGAACTCAGTAGCCATCATGGATTGGCCTAAAAGGCTGTCTAGATTATGTTGATTTCTGTAACTTCAGTCTGATGGTGAGATACTTTTATTGCTTTCCCAGGTATTTCCAGTATAGATTAGATTCTTCTTTATCACCACCTCACTTTGAACTCCTGAGAACCATGTAGAATAATGGAATTTATACCACTACACATTTTAATTTGGAACTTGGAGATTCTCATATGTACCCTTTCAACATGAATAAGATAACAATTATAAATATGGTACTTCCAGGTGATGTTGGAAAGGAAGTTTACTAAAACCACTCAGCTATCATGGCTCTGAACCTTAAACACACATTTTGTGTTTGATCCTAGGCAATCCATCATCATCTCTTTCATGCAATATGTCTGTTTCTTTGGTCTTTACATCTCTTAATTCTTGGTCTGTCTCTTTTGTTGCCATTTTATTTTTATTTTATTTTTAATTGTGTGTGTGTGTGTGTGTGTGTGTGTGTGTGTGTGTGTGTGTGTGTGTGTGTGTGTATTTCTGTCTGTCTGTCTGAGGATAACTTGAAAGACTTGTTTCTATCCTTTCACCATGTGGGGCCTGGGGATGAAATCATAGCAGCAAGCATCTTTATCCACTAAACCATTTCTTAGTCCCCTCTTTTTTATTTTATTGCTTCCATTTTTTATTTGATTAGAAACAAGATTGTTTTGCATGTCAATCCCAGTTCCCTCTCCCTCCCCTCCTCTCCTGCCTGCCCCCAAGTAACACCCTACCTATCCCATACTCTTTCTGCTCCCCAGGAAGGGTGATGCCTTCCATATGGGGGTCTTCAGAGTCTGTCATATCCTTTGGGATAGTACCTAGGCCCACTCCCATGTGTCTGGGCTTAGGGAGTAGCCATCTATGTGATTGGGCTCCCAAAGTCCATTCCTATGCTAGGGATAATTACTGATCTACTACAAGAGGCCCCATAGATTTCCGATGTCTCCTCACTGACACCTACTTTCATGGGGTCTGGATCAGTCCCAGGCTGGTTTCCCAGCTATCAGTCTGGGGACCAAGAGTTCCCCCTTGTTCAGGTCAGCTGTTTCTGTGGGTTTCACCAGCCTGGTGTTGACCACTTTGCTCATCCCTCCTCCTTCTCTGCAACTGGATTCCAGTTCAGTTCAGTATTTAGCTGTGAGTGTCTGCTTCTACTTCCATCAGCTGCTGGATGAAGGCTCCAGAATGGCATATAAGTTAGTCATCAATCTCATTATCAGGGGAGGACATTTAAGGTAGCCTCTCCTCTGTTGTTTAGATTGTTAGTTGGTGTCATCTTTGTAGATCTCCAGACATTTCCCTAGTGCCTGGTTTCTCTTTAACCTATAATGGCTTCCTGTATTATGGTATCTCTTATCTTGCTCTCCTCTAGTCTTACCCCAACTCAACCTTCCTGCTCCCTACTGTCCTCCTCACTCCTCCTCTTCTCCCCTTCTCATTCTCCTAGCTCCCTCTCTCTCACCCCATGCTCCCAATTTGCTCAGGAGATCTTGTCCCTTTCCCTTTCTCTGAGGGACCATGTATGTCTCTCTTAGATTCCTCCTTGTTTCCTAGCTTCTTGGTGGTGTGGGTTATAGGCTTGTAATCCTTTGTTCTATGTCTAAAATCCATATATGAGTGAGTTTATACAGTGTTTCTCCTAGCAGCATTATTTATAATAGCCAGAACATTGAAGCAACCTAGATGCCCCTCAACTGAAGACTGGTAGAGAAAATGTGGTACATTTACACAATGGAGTACTACTCAGCAGGGGGGGGGGATCTTGAAATTTCCAGGCAAATGGATGGAACTCTTTTACTTTTAAATTTTTTATTAAATGAGACAAGATATTGCTATGAATCCCAGATAAACTTAGAATTCAGTTTGTACCTCAAAGATATCTTCATCTAATGATAATTCTCTTACTTCAGCCTTCAGAGTGCTAGAATTAGAGGTGTGTGCTACAATTCCCTGCTATGCCATTGTCTGTTCTCACAGTAGGCTTTTATTTCAATTCATGGAAGATCCGAAAAACAGGACCTTCCTTACTTTTTCCTCTCCATCTTCTTTTTTGTTTTGTTTTTGTTTTTGGTTTTGGTTTTTCGACACAGGGTTTCTCTGTGAAGCTTTGGAGCCTATCCTGGGATGATTCATTTTTGTCAGGGTTACTCTGATTTGAACAGAGAAGTGTTTCCATGATTGAAATAGATCTGGTACAGATCTACTTCATTTTCTTCTTTTTTTTTTACTGTTTTTTTTTCTTTTTTTCTGTTTTCAAGACAGGGTTTCTCTTTGGCCTATTCTGGCACTCGCTCTGGAGACCAGGCTGGCCTCGAACTCATAGAGATCTGCCTGCCTCTGCCTCCGAGTTCTGGGATTAAAGGCGTGTGCAACCTCGCCCAGCTTCTCCTCTCTATTTTATGCATCTATTTCTAACAGTTTTCTCTAGTCCCTACTAAGGAAACACAATATATTCAGGCATTCTTTTTGATTGTTTTTTATTCACTTGAAGTTTAGTCTCAAAACGAGGGTTTCCTCTTGGCTGTCCCTTACTTATTTTTACAACAGAAATCTCTGGCCTCTTATTATATTAGAACACCGAAAAAAGGTTTCTTTATACTGTAAAACATCTGTGTTACATACTTCTGAGACATAATGTAATTTTGTCTCAGACTGTTTCATAGCATACTAAGGCCAGTGCTGTCCGATAGCAACACAATCCAAATGACAGTTGCACATTTTAACTTTCCAAGAGATAAATTTTAAATCCCTGAAATCTTGATTTCACTTTAGGTCTACAACATATCTCCATTCAACAGAGTTCTGGACTGAAGAAAACATTTCAGGTATACTCTATTGATATGTTCATTCATGATTTCTGCCAACATACCCATTTAAGGCTGGAGAAAACAGACCAGTTACAATGTTTGATGAATTTGGAAAACTAAGCCATAGCAAAAGCAATAGGGTACCAACCATTTATGGTTCAGTAAAATAAAATACTATAACAGGATTTCAAGTTTTGAGATAATTATTGTAGGGAATAGGCCAGTTGGCTTCAGGACTTTAGCAGCTAGGGTGACATTTTGAGAAAAAAATAATCAATGAAAGTTCTGGTATTTGCTCTGCCAGCTTCTATGGAAGCCCTTCAGCCAGACTCATTTTTCTTATTCTTGTTCCATCTATAGACTCTGGCATAGACCCTATTAGGTCTACCAGAACTAAAGTCGCTGGGTACCACACATGTCATTTACCCCTAAACTCATGCCTTTATAGCTCAGTATTCACATCTAACTCCTGGAGAGAATCCAAGCCAAGGAAAAGAATGATATGGTTTATGCTATTTAATTCATCTTCTCTTAACACAGAATCAATGCTCCGAGGTTTTCATGTAGGAGGATAATAAGACCAAGGAAGAACTGTGGTTGACTAATTTTTACCAAATGAAATAGTCTAACTTTTCTTTGTTATGCTTGGACTAGTGCTTCTGAATTGAAGCCCAAGAAGTAGAAAGTTTGTCTTTTGCATTCTTCTATGATTATTCCTTCTGTCATTTTTAGTATCACATTTACAGGTCTAAATCTACAGATTGTATATCTCTGAAGGGAGATTGTATATCTCTAGGAGAAGGAAGTATATGCATTACTATTTCACAAGCAATTTTGTCACACATCTACAATTGTGGCTTCTCTTTCTAGGCTGGTTCCAATCTTCTTCCAAAATGAGTCTTGTCTAAGGAACTTAATGCCTCCACTGCCATATCCAAATTATAGGTCTATCAATATAATGAAGGCACCCATATCTGGGTGCTCTGATTCAGATCCTCTATCACAGCCACCTAGTACTCCAGGACAGTGTTCACCCTCACATGGAATTAACTCTTCCAATGAGAATAGTGCACCAGGTTTGACTCTTCTATGGCCTCCTCTGTGTCTGTATCATCCTAACTCAATTATAAGTGACTTATAGACAGTTGTTGTCCAATATGAGAAACAGATGAGGACTGATTGTGAGCTTATAGTCGGAAGAAGTGGGATACTGAAGAAAGTAGGTGTTTTGAAGAGCATAGGGTTACTTCATGTCAAATACTGTGGTAACAGTTGATGAGTTATTTGAAGTATAGGTGATATACTGAGGTTAAACATCTGAGAAGGTAAAGTTAAGAAAGAATAATAGGGAAGACAAACAAGATGAATGGTCACAGATATGAAAATCTTCAGAAACTGGTCATTTGAATGAGATGTCCCCCATAGTCTTGGTCATTTGAACACTTGGTTTCCAGGTGGTGTTGACCCTTTATAGGTCAGATTGCCCTGTCTCTAGCTTAGTACATGTGCACTGATCCAAGAAGGAATAACCTTGCATGAAAAGCTCTACACAACTGAGGTAGATCTTAAGATAGCCACTGGAGGTGGCTGCCAACCACAGTCTCTGCACTTGGCCAGTAGATCCTCCTTTGAAAGGGTTCTGCTCAGAGAATCACCTTGCTTACCAGAATTTCAACCACAATTTGACTAATATTTGTCAGCTTTGCTTCCAACTCGATAGACAAGGTAGAAACAGAGAATTCAGGGCTTGAGTTTAGAAAAATATTGTTAAATAACTGTTACTGGCTTACAAGGACTGAAGTTTTTGAAAAGGTAAGCAAAAATAAGTCAGAATAGTCTATGGGACTGAGGTTTAAGATGTGACTGTTGTTGCAGATGAATATTGGAGAATTGGGATTGAAATTAGGGTTCAAGAGCAAGGCAAGCACAAAGTTCATTGAAGGCACCTGAATGAACAACACGTACAATCAGCAAGGCAATAAAAGGGAATGGAGACTGGCTACTGGCAATATGTGCAGCAGAGTTAATAAGTAGTAGACATGGAGCAGCCACTGTATTACTATCTGAAGTCAGCTAAGGTGGGGAAAGTGATTCTTTATAGGACATCAAGATTTCCTCAGTTGCTTCCCATTATCTCTATCTCAACACAATACAGGGTTTGAACTGATACAAGTTGCATTTGTGACTTAAAATGGGATTTTTTATTTTTGTAACAAACTCAATTATGAGAGTGCTGTTTTTCATTGAATGAACACACTTCATAAATATTTACCACATTTTGTGATAGTTTTAATGACACAAAATGACTATGAAATTAATGCTTTAAGGAGAATTGTACAGGTCTTGTTGCTTACATGTAAGACAACTCTGAGAACCCTAACTTGTTTTCCAAGACAACAAAATTGCTTTTGATTTGGGAATTTAACCAGACACACTTAGAGTCAGTTAGCATTGTCAGTCATGAGGAAGCAAAACAACGTCCTAGGAGACTAATTAAAATATTTACTGCCACCCTCACATTGCAGATTTTTTAGACAATTCAGTTTAGATTTTCAGGGGGAAATTAACTAAAACTAAAAAGAACATCAAGTTAGCAGGTTTTTAAAAAATAACTATGTTTATATGAGGGAAGCAAAAGAAATAAAAACTATTGCTAGGGTTGGCATCATTTCATACATTTGCGAGAAGATACATAAGCTGTTTCTGATTATAGCTTTTACCAAGTATGCAAATAGCTGTCATAATTTCAGAAAAAAATATTATCTCCATTTCTCCTTTGTCCATCAAAATGTTTTCACACTTATCTTTTTGAAGGTGTTATAGAGGGCTCTTTAAATCTCTGATTAATATTGGTAGGTCATGTAACAAAATGAGCAGACATGAACTTGGGAGATAGATTTGTGGGGCTGATTTCCCTGGGGAAGGAAATGCAGGAGGTGAGAGTGGCCAGTATGCAAAACACACACAGGTGAAATTATAAAAAGAAAAATGTTTCAGTTAAATTTTAACATTATCAATCTAATACTTTTTTCTTGCTAACTATTTCATGTTCCAAAGTCCTTTTATGGAAAGGTACTAAGGCTTACTCTAGCAGTAAACATTATCAGGTAATTAGAACATTAATATCTTAGATTAGATAATTTAAGAAATACTGATTTACGGTCTTTGCTAGCCATCCGCCATGGCAGGTGGATGAAAGACCCGAGCTAACATGGGGTTAGCTCCTTAAACAACAATAAAGCCTCATGCAGTTTGCAGCAAGCTTTCGAATCAGCCTGGTCATTGGGGTGACCATGGTCCTGGGCTAAGACCCCGGAGGCCTGAGTTTTCCAGGGGTCTAACATTTGGGGGCTTGTCCTGGATGTGACCACCCCTCATCTGCCTGGTCGGCAGATCGAATTCCAGGACAGGCTCCAAAGCCACAGAAAAAAACTGTCAGAGAAAGAAGTTTAAGCAAGCAGCTAAAATGTGTACATGTAGCTACTGTTTAAGAACTGTAAGGTAACTCTATGCAGTTTTAAATTCAGCTTTGCTAAGTTTCAAATGTTTTACTAAGTTAAAACCAGTTACAGTCAGGCTGAAAATTAATTACAGAAATAAGACCTTACCTAGCCACCTGTAGCTTCTTGTGTGCTTAAGGCAAGTAACTAAAACAGACAGACAGACCTCTAATGCTTCAGAGACCTGCAGAATATGGCATTTAAATTGTTATCTTTAAAGTTTATAATATCAGACTGCCAGATCCTGACAGTGACCCAAAGTCTCCAAAGAAGATTATGAGGCACCCCA